TGAATTGTCCTTATCTGTTTTGGTATCTGTGGTTGTTTGAACAGGAACAATGCCCACGGTCTTATGTGTTTGAATCCTTGGCCCATAGAGAGTGCCATTATTAGGAGGTGTGGCCTTTTGGATAAAGTATGTCACTATGAGGTGGGCTTTAATGTCTTAGATGCTCAAGCAGAGCCTATTGTGACATTCACTTCTCCTGCCTATGGATGAAGATATAAAACTCTCAGCTTCTTCTCCAGTACCATGTCTGCCTGCCTGACACCATGCTTTCCCACCATGATGATAATGAACTAAATCTTTGAGCAGTAAGCCAGTTCCAATTAAATGCTTTTCTTTATAAGATTGCTATTGTCATGATGCCTCTTTACATCAATAGATTTCCCAATTAGGACAGTATTTTACTCCATAATATATTAATTAAGACTAATTTTGATGATTATGTTGGAGAGTCATCTAGGATTTCTTTTTATAGTTTTATTAACCTTTTCTCCTTCAGGACATGGTCCCTATTACATTTATAATAGTTACACTATTAATAATGACAGTTATCTTTGTCTTTGTTAATATGTCATGTATCAGCTAACCTGCTATATAAGAACATGCCATATCAGTTGGTTCCTGTAAGGAACATATGATTTCTGTATCTGGAAGATAAAGTGTTAACTTTTCATGGGAAAATTCTCAGAGAACACAGAGGAGTCTCTTAGACATACAAAAGGAAACAACCAAAGTCAGAGAGAGACTCGGAGACCCAAGGTCATCTACTCTGTGGTCAAGGTCTGTGCCTTTACAGCAAATACAAGGAGTCTCTATTCAGATTTTGGAATATGTCACAGATAACCAAGATTTTTTAAGGTGTCAAGGTGTCATTTTGCATCTATAAAAATATGTTGTGACCTTTAGTTAAATAATGTTTTTTATTTTTAACAATTGCTGCCTTTTAGCATGGGAAAATATTGGAGTACCTTTGTTCTTTTCAAACTTGTACCACATAAGATTGAATGAAATTGCTGCTCTTTACTGTTATACAAAATTATCCAAACTTAATGGAGTACACCCTGGGTTTTATTAAAGGCCAAATAATCATTAGCATTTCCAGAATGAGATTTCATAATTATTAATGAGGATTCCAAATATAAACACTGTTTGTTTCCTTAATGAACGGCTTGCATTTTATTAGGGCTGTAAATCTATTTCATGACTTTATGCACTGTTTTTTAGGCTGGTTAGGAGCTCACTATGTAGCCTAGGCTGGCCCAAAATGTCTACTTATTGACTACTATGGATTTTGATCGCTGCAGTTGGGTCTGAGTCAGTTTGGTGGTTGGCAGGGCAGAGCTGAGGCATGGTGGGATCTTCGTGAAGTGGGGTCTGGAAGATGTCTTTAGAGAACTGGGAGAGCGGTCTTTTAAATGGATGAGATGACATTTGAGGAACTCCTGAGCTCATACAAGAGTGAGTTGTCATACAGCGAAATGCCTACTGAATGCTCTGTGGCCTCCTGCTTGTGGATGCTTCTCTAACACCCAACTTAAGCTCCTGCTGCAGAGATCTTTTTCCCTTTGACAGATACAAAAGAATGTAAGAGCAAAACTCAATGGAACTACTCGATTTTCTACTTTTAGATGTAGAAGTTCTGGATCCAACAAACTCCTTTTCATCAAGCAGATCTTCTAGCTTTAGTTTATCATTATTAAATCCTGAATATGTACTGTGGTGATGCACATATTCTGTGGTGTTGACATTTCAACACTACCTTCTGAGTGAGGGACATCATCAATGATAGTATTCAGGGTACCAAAGTAATTGGTGGGCAATTTAGATTGCTTCACAATCTAAAGATTAATTTCATCTTCTACTTGTATTTCTTTCTGTTTCTGCTTTCTAGTAGTTCTCTGGAAACTATAACTAAAAGAACATGCCTGATTTCTCATTAAACTCAAGAACTTTATAGAGAGGGCTTTTTTGTGTTTGTCTTTAGCATGAAGTCTCATATAAAAGAAAATGTCTCCCTCGTAGCATAGAAACAAGTAAAAATAGATATTTAATCTAGATACAACAGGATTGTTTGATTGTTAACTTTCTTTGGTTTAGAGGTCATATTTTGCTCTCTGACACTAACAGTTTTCTTCCTAGTAAGGTTTCAGAATGCTTTTTCCATTGGTGTGCTTCTGAGGACCTTCGCTGTCATCGATCATCTCTCTCTCTTTCTTTCTATCAGTCTGTCTGTCTTTCTGTCTGTCTTTTCTTCCTTCCATCTATTGTCTATCTGCACATTAGCTGAAGTCTAGTTATACATTAAGTTTTTAGATGATCATTTTCTAGAATCAGCATTAGGAAGTGTTAGTTAAGTAGGTGGGGTAACTTACCTGTAATCTTCCACATCTTTGTTCTTTGTTTTCAGGTTCTTGGTATCACTAATATATTTTAGAGCTTCCTGTCCTATGCACTGCACTCAGAACAAATAAGATTATCTCGAGGGGTTTATTCCTTATCTATGAAATGCAAATACATATTAACTCATGCCCCACCCCAAGCAGCATTTATTCTAGATTTGAAACGTTGATGGAAGATGTTTAATCAGTAATGATAATTTGAAATGTTAACTGATGATGTTGTGTTACCTGATTACTTAATAAAACATTAATGTGCAATTCATTTTATGGAGATGAGTAAATTTTTTAATCAGCTTACTTTAATAGGCGTTTTTCTAGATCATCATGGAGCTATCATTCAGTCAGTTTTAGGTTCAATGGCATAACATACTTTTCTTGAAGAAATTCAGTTCCATCTGTGGTCCTGAGTTTCATTTGTCTTTCTTGCTAGATGGATTTTATGTTTATTTCTTCCAGTAAACTTCTTCCTATACCCGTGTTTCAGCTCTGCCATGTTGGTTGAACCATAATGGACATACACTATTTAAATATAATGAAGACATAAAGGCAAAAGGCATGTGCTTGCTCACGTATATGTACATATGAAAGAATAGAGTTCACTAAAAAACAAGGATGGGAAGAGACTCCTCAAAAATGAAGAGTTTCCATGACAACCCACAGTTCATATCGCATTAAATGATCAAACATCTCCTAATACCATAACACAATCAGCTCTCTGCTTCCATACAATGCTGGTGAGCAGAAAAAATTAAAAAGCATTCAAATGTTTTTTTAAAATCTGTTTTCATTTGCAAATGGTGTGTTTTATATAGCGAAGATACCAAGAAATTCCCTTCAAGGTCATTTAAAAACAACAATTAAGTTTATCTCGACTATAGAATCCATTATCAATCTTTGATAATTAGTTGTGCTGACAATAAGAATCCAGCCTGATCTAAAATACTAAAATTGTACAGTAAAAGAGAATACTTCGTAGATATAAAAAGTTAAACAAACAGAGCACTAGGGCAAGAAGTTTTTAAAAATTGATAAAAAGTTATCTAAAACATGGAAATTAACAAACTCATAGATTAAAAATGATAACCTTTTCAGGTAATACACTGAATTAAATTTACTGTATAAGAAAATATTTAGGATTTTTTTAAAAAAAATGACATGGTTTCTTTTTTTCTATATCAACATATAAAAGTCCCTCAGAAGAATTGGCATTATAAATATCCATTATCAGAGAAATATGAAAGGCAAACATTTAGTTTCTGTGCTTGCACAAATGTCACTTCTAGGTACCTTTCATAAGACTCATTTAAAAGTCACTAATAGGTCATTTTGTCATTAGAGAATCTTTCAACACAGAATGAAGCAAACAATGATTTAATTACTCAGAAATTAATACTGGTACCAAAGTGTGTTTAATAAAATATGACCAAGACATTAATCCACAAACCTATGTATGCCTGATTTTTGTTAAAGAAGCCAGAAATATGCATTGGATAAAAAGACAGCATCTTGAACAAAAGTGCTGGTCAAATTGCATGTTTGCATGTAGAAGAACTCAAATAGATCCCTATTTGTCAACCTGTACAAACTGAAGTCCATGCACATCAAATACTTCAATGTAAAACAGACCTGCTAAAAATGATAGAAGATTGGGGACTAGCCTTGAATGCTTTGGCACAAGAGACAACTTACCGAATAGCACATCCAGAGCACAGGCAATAAGCTCAACAATAAATGGAACCACATGAAACTGAAAATCTTTGGCAGAAGTCCTCCTCAATGGTACAAAACAACCCACAGAACAGGAAAAGACTTTAACCAACTCTACCATGACCTCCTAATTACAACAAGAACAGGAATGTTAAAGATTTACTAGACACACCTGATTCCAAGGATCAAATGCCCATAGTTCAAATCCAGAGCCTAAGGCCATTAAAGGCAAGAGTCCAGTTAATTAGTACAGAGAAATCAAAATGGTACAGTATAATGGGAAAAGAGTAATACATTAGAACATTCCCTCTTGGGAGGGTTATAAGAGGAACAGGCCCATATAGTAAGACTAAGAAACTGTAGTACAAAGTCTGTTTCCCAAATGAAGTTGTTTTCCAAGGCCAGGCATTTGGATAAGGGCCTCCATTCTTTTGGGGGGCTTGAGGAAAGTTCCTACTTGATAAAGCAATCATTCTCCTTTTCTCTAGGAAGAGAAATGTGTGTCCTTTTTATTAACAGGTGTCTGGTGCCTATTGTCAAGGTCAAGGCTAGCTTCCTTAACTTCTAATCTCAAACCATGTCCCAGCTTACAGGTCCCTTGTCTCTAGTTTAATCCTGTTTGCAACTATACAGTATAAAATGTGTAATCTTCTCTAAATAAATAAATAAAAGGCCCTCCCAACCCGATTCACCAACAGATCATATCCACTACCCCACCACCCCCTGCTGCCACCAAATCCACACGTCCTTTTTGGGATCTGAACCCCTTGCCGAAACGTGTCTCTGGCAGTATGTACTCACTGAAAAAAACTGCAGCTAATATATCTGTGGTAGTTATAGTGTTTGCTAGAAAGGCAAATAATCACATATGTTTTTGACCCCTCCTAAAACCCAGGACTCTGATACCTGCCTGAAGATTTATGGAGATCAGATGAGTTTTATGATATCACTGAGCATCAAAACAGTGCCGGCAATGACGGAAGCAGCAGGTAGGATCTAGGGGTACTTTTTAATGTTGACTGACTTCCTGAGGCAAACATGAGATCATGGGGCTAAGTGATTCACTGCATTGGGACATCTGCTAAAAATCTCCTCAGGGCGGTTGATAATTAAATTCCAACAGGGAGATGGATCAGCTGGTCTAAGTTAGCCTTGCTCAGGCTAACTAAGGCAGCAATCTCCTATTCTCCAAGTGTCCCATTAAATTTAATACTCTTTTCAAAGTGTAAGTTTTTTTTCTTCCTTTCTTTCTAAAAATGATCCCAGGAAGATTGGTTCAGTCATTATCTAAGTTTTATCAGACCTTACCAGAAAATTACAGTTAGGTGACTCCATGAATCATGAAACTGAAGTGAGTCAATAAATAGGAGGATCTTATATTTATATTGATATTTAAATTCATCGTGAATATTTTAAGACTATATCATCCTTCCAAACACATCACTCGTTCCTGTGCTCAAAGAAAAAGAAGAGCCGACAACCTTTTGATGGGGCTCACAGTGTAAGTCTGGTGCATTTGCGGTGGGATGTCTCAATTCTCTCTAGATTCATCCAATTGGCTAAAGTGAACAAGAACAAAACAAATTATTGAATGAAATATTCACAACCTTCCTTATGGAAATAATTTTAGGAATACAACTGGCTGCAAATCATGAAGTAATACAAAGCTACCAAACAAACAAACAAACACTACAGGGGCAGTGTAGCCACCAGAGTGTCATACAGAAAAGGTGGCATATTGTTAAGGCATAACACTGAATGATTCATTGCCCCAGAACACAAATGCTGATCAGCCTCGGAAGAGATTAGCCTGAAGGAAATGCCACTGTTTTCCTCTTTCATAGGCCTTATATCTGCCATATATTTGCATACGTGCAAATGACCTATGTTAAGCTGAATGGAAATCAGAAAGAAACCTCAAGGTGGCTTGCGCATCAATACTAAAGGGAAGGATGGACCAGTCATATTGGTTTGATTGAGGCTTGAACACACAAGCCACTGACATGAGTCCCTTCACTAAGTATTTAAGTTGTTTTCCAAGAAGAGCACCTAGAATGTCCTCAGTGAAAACCACTGCTTAGTTTGAGAACCACGTAAGCTCAAACTGTTACCCTGTGAGGAACACCAGGCTGTAAGAGGCATGGTGACAGTTCACACACATAGAAGGGACCCTTAATCCAGTCCTTGTTCCACCTATTGATTGACAGACAGCCTGCTTGTCCCTATTATAGTTCCCTCAGGATCTGCTTACTTATGCACAAATACTTTGAATATAAATTTCTCTTTAGTTCTAACTTCTGGTTAGGAAAAATATCAGAAAAAGGAAGGAGGGGAAGAGTTGAACTGAAAGGAAGGAGAAAAGGTTTCTTTAGGATGATAGCTGGTCTCTGGAGTCATTGCTCATTAACATAAAGATTATCACACAAGTCTTTCATGATTTCTAACTTTCTATTTCTGTCTGCAGCCGTGAACAAATCCACAGAACTATAAATCCTTTCACGAGCTGGGATGATAAGGTACAGTAACACCCAAGCAAATGTTTGCTTGCTTAGGTGTGAGGGGACACCTGAGAAAGAAAGTATTCTAAATTTATAAATGATCAGCAGAACCTAAGACATTCTTGGTAAAACGACATTAATTCCATCTTCAACAGTATATAATACAGATGATAACAAGTCTTCCTTTGTTTTAAATTTAATTTCTATAGCAAAACTAAATATTCCACAAGAAGCTATAAGAAAGCCACAACGAAAGGTCCCCTTAATAGACCCTTGTGAATGGGATCAATGCCTTTAGTGCTTTCACACCGAGGATAAAGCACAAAGTGGAGCCCTGGGAACCAGGAACCTGACCCTCTCCCACAACTGATGTATGCATTCCTTGATCTTGGCTTTTCTCACCTGCAGATCTCTCAGAAATGAAATTATGTTACATATAAGCCAAGTTGATGGCATCGTTGCCTAAGCAGCAGCAGCCCAAGTGGATGAGGGTTTGTGTGAAATGGCTCTAGCCCTTACTCTTTGCTTTCAAGTTTTATTATATTTCAATCCAGGCATTAAACAATTAGGGTGCATTTCCATTTTACTCTTTCTGAGTTCTATGCTGCTGTCATTAGAGGTCTTGCTATCCATATGTATCTTACAACCCAAAGTGCATGAGCACATGTGTATAAGATTTTAAACAATATGAATATAAAAACTATCTCTCTGCAGTTACGTAGTGTTAGAGTTTCTTGGCCTCCTACATTCTCCCTCTGTCTCTCTGTTATTAGATTGCTGCTGGAAGACTCATTTAACATTTCTCATAGCGGAAGGACACTGTGGATAAATTCCGTTTAAATGTTTCTGAATACATAATTATTTTAGCCACATTATTGAAACTTGTTTATTTCTGGATAGACTGTTTTAGATTTCAAATGTCATTCACCACGGCACAGTGTTTTTTTGTTTTTTTTTTCTCTTCTTACTTCCTTTGCTCTCATGAGAACCCTTCTTCTGTGCCCTACTTTTGATCCTCTTTAAATTATGGCTCCTCTTCAGGGACATTTCTTTCTGTGTTTTTTTTTTTTTTTCTGTAGTGTCTTGGGCCTCTTCTGTCCTGCACTTAGACATTTCCTCAGTTTTTCTGAACTATTCTAGCTGTTGCTCTTCTACTATATTTTTTTCTCCTTCTATTCGCTCTTCTCTCATGAGCTTCCTAAATACACGTGCATATTGCCAGCTCTCATCCCTCAGCTCCATGAAACTTTTCGGATTTTAATTTCTTTTCTATTTTTGCTTTAGGGGTTGGGAATAAATCTCAGCGTCAGAGTGCTTGATTAGCATACAAGAGGCCCTGAGCTAGACTCCCAGCACCAGAACTAACAAATGGCTAAATTTAAAGACTGCCCCCTTTAAAAAGAATGCTTTACATTTTTCTATGTGTATGTGTGAGTGCTTGCGTGCATGTATTATGCCCTATGGATGTCTAGGGCCTTCAAAGGACAGAAAAGGGTGTCAGATTTCTCATGAATGGAGACAGAGAATATATGCTTGTGAGTAGCCATATTGTGCTGGATACAGAACCTGGGTTCTTTTTTTTTTTTTCTTTATTTCTTTGATAATACCAGTGTTTTTTTTTCTTTTTTTATTGAGAAAAGGAGAAAAAAAAAAAAACAAGTTTCCACCTCCTCCCAGCCTCCCATTTCCCTCCCCCTCCTCCCACCCTACGCCCCCTCCTCCCACCCTTCTCCCCCTCCCCCCACTCCTTTCCCCCTCCCTCTCCAGTCCAAAGAGCAGTCAGGGTTTTCTGCCCTGTGGTAAGACCTAGGACCTCCCACCTCCGTCCATATCTAGGAAGGTGAACATCCAAACTGGCTAGGCTCCCACAAAGCCATCACATTATGTAGGATCAAACTCCCGTGCCATTGTCCTTTGCGTCTCATCAGCCCTCATTGTTCGCCATCTTCAGAGAGTCCAGTTTTATCTCATGCCTTTTCAGTCACAGTCCAGCTGGTCTTGGTGAGCTCTCAATAGATCAGCTCCACTGTCTCAGTGGGTGGGTGCATCCCTCGTGGTCCCGACCTAGTGGGGCTCCCAGGTGCCCAAGCTGAGGTCCCCAGTTAGTTCCTTGGGCAGTTGAGGATAGGGAACCTGAAATGACCCTATCCTAGAGCAATACTGACGAATACCTTGCATATCATCATAGAACCTTCATCTGGTGATGGATGGAGATAGAGACAGAGACCCACACTGGAGCACTGGATTGAGCTCCCAAGGTCCCAATGAGGAGCAGAAGGAGGGAGAACATGAGCAAATACCAGTGTTTTTAATAACCGTGTCTTGTTTTCTTATTTTGAGTATTTTCTCCTATGATTTAAATTCATTGCCTTCTTTATGATGACATTTTTTTCATGATTTGAGACAGTGAAATTTTTCTCATTAGCCATTTTATTTTTCTCTAAAATGAGCTAATATTTGTTATATAATAGCTTATATTATAAATAGTATCCCTAGCTCATTAATTTTAATCTTTCAATATATATCTGGAACCTATCAAAATATTTAACTAAGTTTTAAATCTTTTCATCTATGCATTGAGTCACTGAAATGAGCTTTGTAATGCTAAATAACCTGCACAATGAAAACTGTGTCCTGGGATTCTTGGAACGTCAGCGAAATCTATATATTGTATTTTATACAGGGTAAGGCGTCAGCAGAATCTCTATATATTGTATGATATACAGGGTAAAGCTTTCAGTCTGTGTTCATGAGAAGTGTCATTCTATAATTTCTGACATTTGCATTCTTTGTCCCCATTTTTTAGGTTGTACCTCTTTTTCTCCTGAGAGTCACCAAGTGTAGCCCATCCAGATCCTTACATTAGTTAACAGGAGGACAGACACAGCAGTTAATAACAAACAAAGTCATGTAAGAAGCAGCATTCATGGGCCATGTGCTGTCATCATAAACTGCCAACCAGGTGACTGTAACACACAGCAAAAAACAAATAGCAATAATCCCGAGCTTCCCCTTGCCTTCCTCCCTCGGGGACATTAAAAGCTCTCTATCTTCCAGGGGACCATTTGAATGTTTTCACTTTCAGGATCTTGAGGCTCTGACATCTCTAGAAACTTTGGCTGAACTTTTTCAGCCCTGCTGAAGTTCTGTGTTTCAGCAAAGGACCCGCAGGATTCTTGCTAAACCTCAACCATTAACCAGGATCAGATGAGAGGCCTCTCAGCTCTACTCAGGACCCACGAGGCTCCTCTGCAGTGTTTGAAGACTTCTTCCTAACAGGTTCCTGGAGCTTTGGGGCCTCAGATGGTCACTTCCAAAGAAGCAGCTTCGCTCTCCCATGTAATCTCCAATCCTACCAAGTGCTGCTGAGGCATCATGTTTGGAATATATGCGATTTTAAAACACATTGTTTATGACAGTATAACAAGGAACAAAATGAAATCCCAGTGCCTAATCACTACCTGACCCCGAATGAAGGCATAGAGCTGAAGTAAGGTGTCCAGGGATTACAGTTTACTCTGCTTGTGATGCATTCCTGATACGAAGGTTTTGTCAAAATACAAGTGAACAGCTGCTCTTGAGACTGCCTTCCTCTTCAGTCTGAGTCACTACTGCCCTCTTGAGAGCCTGTGTGTGTGCGTCCTCCTCCGCACACATCCCACCTTCCTCCCAAAGACATTTCAGCTGTAAGAACTATAAAGGGATAAGAGAACTTGGCCATCGGGATAGAGCTCCTTTAAGAAGAATGCTAAATGTTCTATCTACTTCATCCAAGGGATTTAACTCAGATGAAAGGCCTTGTGCAGGAAACTCTCCCTTTTCTTTCTTGCCTAGGTAAGTATTCCGAGCAGATGGCGTTATTCAATTATTAGCAGTTGGCACAACAGGTAAGAAATGAGAAAAATTTAAGGGCTATTGAACGCTAGGGAGCAATATTCATCCCGGCTCCTGGGGAATTAACCATAAAGCTCTCGTTAGTTTTAATGAGGACGCACAACCAATCTGGAAATGTTCACATGGACTCAGCAGTGCGCTCCACAGCACAGGTGTTTAACTGTCAGCAGATTCAACAGTCTGATCCGAAAAGATTAAAAGACTGTAGGATAAAAAAAACCAGCCACTCACAATGGTAGAAAGGTCTGGGGAACCAAACTGTTATTTTAAACTTGAAAATATTAAGACAACTTGAGAAGCCCATTAAACTCACCCAGCTCAGCCTCATTTAGTAAATTTATGTATTGATATGTGTTGGTTTCTTAGCAGTGACACAGGAAAGGCTTGCGTTTGGGCAATGCCTATACTATTATTTTGCACAGGACTATTAAGTTTGTTGAAGATTCATTATTAACGTACTATAGCAGAATGGCCTCGTGATGGAGGGACACGCTTCCCCCAGGGAGAAGAGATGTGTGGTTTCCTATTGACACTGGAAGAGAAGAATCTATAGCTCAGAGTTGAACCACCTCTGCTGTGGCTGGGGAGCACATTTGCTGTCTTGCACATGACTGCTGAAGTCATGTAGAAACTGGTCATTTGTACTAGTGATTTCAGGAATCTTTTACAGAATGTTTATCTTGAAGATAGTTGAGAGAGTCCTCAAGGGGTTTTTATTGCTTCTATATTTACTGTATACCTATCACTGGCTTGTGTCTATGTCTATGTCAGTGTCTTCACGTGTCTAGAAAATTATATCTCCATGTGTTTTAATGTGTTTGGTTCAAATATGAGTTTGGTTCACGTTTTGAAGTCACGTGACAAAAACCTGGACTGAGAATTTGTGATTCCTGTTGGGAGCTATATCATGTAGCTTCTTATTAAAGGAAGATAAGACCTCTGTGGTCCAGTAAATGCCAGAGCTACACACATAAGATTCTGTAATGCTTACATAATCCCCTGTAGTTCATACGGTCATGGGCAGGTTATTCAGTTTGTCTGAAATTCTGATTTCTGGCTCTATGATAAGATCGAGTTGTCTTTTCAGGATAAAAGAAACTAATATTAGATTATGTGTGTTGCTCAAAAACTAAACCTTTCCCCCATTAGAGCCTGCGGCGCAGCTTTTAGTATCATGAATACTAGGGGTGAAGGCTCCAGATGGGCACCAGCTTGGCTTCTCCATGTTCAGTGGATAGTGTAGGGGTTGGATGTAGCAATAGGGCTTTTCCACCAGTCTGTGGAGAGCCACCAATATTCTTGCCAATATCCTGGGTTGTTTGAGGGTTCCCATGGGACCTCTATACCAAAGAACTCTATTGTATGGAACCCATTCGTAGTATTAGAAGCTTTATATGGAGACAAGAGATATCAAATTGGGACTCTGACTCCCCCATTATTTGGTGATTTCACTTAGATCATCCTCATATATGTATGAATTTTAGGAAGCTTCTACTGTATTAAGTTTCCATGTGGCCCACCGCATGACCCTTACTTTTAGCAGCTCTTCCTCCCTGGATTCATTCCTTCACCTCCTTTTCCCTGCACCTGCCTGTTTGATCCTTACATTCCAGTTCCCCACCACCCATCCATAACTGTCTATTTCTCCTACTTAGGGAGATCCATCCCTCTCCCCTAGTCCCTTCCCCTTGCCTAACCTCTGTGGTTATGCTGATTGTAGCTTACTTAAATTTTAATTTGAAGGATTTTATGTTTAAATATTTGCAATGCAAAAACGGGTTTTGTAGTAAATGATCCAAAACATCTTTATGAAGAAATTTACTTTTATTATATATAAACATAGGCCTTGCTGCAGACATAGATCTCAGTTTTTGAGCTATGTCTCTAGGAAGGGGATCGTTTAATTAAAATAGATATGAATGACTTCCCAAGTGTCTTCCAAATAAGTATGAAGAGACTTTGATTTTTTTATGTATTTATTTATTCATTGAGAATTTTATATAGTATATTTTCATCACATTCTTTCCCACCCTTAGCTTCCCTATACTTTTTCCTCTCTTGACAAAATTCAACATCCATTTATGTTAAAAGTCTTGGAGAGATTAGGGATACAAGGGTCATACCTAAATATAATAAAAGCTATATACAGCAAGCCGACAGCTAACATCAAATTAAACGGAGAGAAACTCAAAGCCATCCCACTAAACTCAGGAACACGACAAGGCTGTCCACTCTCCCCATACCTCTTCAATATAGTGCTTGAAGTTCTAGCAATAGCAATAAGACAACATAATGGAATCAAGGGGATTCGAATTGGAAAGGAAGAAGTTAAACTTTCGTTATTTGCAGATGATATGATAGTGTACATAAGCGACCCCAAAAACTCCACCAAAGAACTCCTACAGCTGATAAACAGCTTTAGTAATGTGGCAGGATACAAGATCAACTCCAAAAAATCAGTCGCCCTCTTATACACAAAGGATATGGAAGCAGAGAGGGAAATCAGAGAAGCTTCACCATTCACAATAGCCAAAAACAGCATAAAATATCTTGGGGTACATCTAACCAAGGAAGTGAAAGATCTATTTGACAAGAACTTTAAGGCATTGAAGAAAGAAATTGAAGAGGATACCAAAAAATGGATGGACCTCCCTTGCTCTTGGATTGGGAGGATCAACATAGTAAAAATGGCAATTCTACCAAAGGCTATTTATAGATTCAATGCAATCCCCATCAAGATCCCATCAAAATTCTTCACAGATCTGGAGAGGACAATAATCAACTTTATATGGAAAAACAAAAAACCCAGGATAGCCAAAACAATCCTATACAATAAAGGATCTTCTGGAGGCATTACCATCCCTGACTTCAAACTCTATTACAGAGCTACAGTAATGAAAACAGTGTGGTACTGGCATAAAAACAGAGAAGTCGACCAATGGAATCGTATAGAAGACCCGGATTTTATCCCACAAACCTATGAACACCTGATTTTCGATAAAGGAGCTAAAAGTATAAAATGGAAGAAAGAAAGCATCTTCAACAAATGGTGCTGGCACAACTGGATGTCATCTTGTAGAAGAATGAAAATAGACCCTTATCTATCACCGTGCACAAAACTCAAGTCCAAATGGATTAAAGACCTTAATATCAGCCCGAACACACTGAAACTGATAGAAGAGAAAGTGGGAAGTACCCTACAGGAGCTGGGCACAGGAGATCGCTTCCTATGTATAACCCCAGAAGCACAGACATTAAGGGCAACATTGAATAAATGGGACCTACTTAAACTGAGAAGCTTCTGTAAAGCAAAGGACATAGTCAATAAGACACAAAGGCAACCTACTGATTGGGAGAAGATCTTCACCAACCCCACAACAGACAAAGGTCTGATCTCCAAAATATATAAAGAACTCAAGAAACTAGACTTTAAAATGCTAATTAACCCAATTAAAAAATGGGGCACTGAACTGAAGAGAGAATTCTCAGCAGAGGAAGTTCAAATGGCCAAAAGACACTTAAAGTCGTGCTCAACTTCCTTAGCAATCAGGGAAATGCAAATCAAAACAACTTTGAGATATCATCTTACACCTGTCAGAATGGCTAAAGTCAAAAACACCAAGGATAACCTTTGCTGGAGAGGCTGTGGAGGAACGGGTACCCTCATCCATTGCTGGTGGGAATGCCATCTTGTGCAACCACTGTGGAAGTCAGTGTTTCGGTTTCTCAGGAAATTCGGGATCAACTTACCCCTGGACCCAGCAATACCACTCCTGGGAATATACCCAAGAGATGCTCTATCATATGACAAAAGCATTTGTTCAACTATGTTCATAGCAGTATTATTTGTAATAGCCAGAACCTGGAAACAACCTAGATGCCCTTCAATGGAAGAATGGATGAAGAAAGTATGGAATATATACACGCTAGAGTACTACGCTGCGGTAAAAAACAATGACTTCTCGAATTTTGCAGGCAAATGGATGGAAATAGAAAACACTATCCTGAGTGAGGTGTCCCAGACCCAAAAAGATGAACATGGGATGTACTCGCTCATAATTG